GATGACCTTGTTGCCAAAGGAGTTATCCAGCCAGCCGTAGAGATGCCTCCTCCCACGGTGCCGATGGATTACTCCTGGGCACGAGTGAGTCTGCCCTCTGAACATGAATGAATCAAGCTTTTATCTATCGGATGAGGGCAAAACAAAAGTGAAACAAATCCTATTTTAAAAAGCTGGATCCCAACAAATTTATGCATTAAACTTGTTTTTTTCCCCCCACTTTTCTACTTGCCCTTTAGGAGCTCGGTCTGATCCGTAAGCCTGCTTCCTTCATGACAAGTATCTGTGACGAGAGGGGTCAGGAGCTCATCTATGCAGGCATGCCCATCACTGAGGTCTTCAAGTCAGAAATAGGCCTCGGAGGAACTCTGGGGCTTCTCTGGTTCCAGAGGAGGTCAGCCTCTTAACGCAGTCGTTGTAATAAACAAACTCTTGACCAATCATTTAACCCGATAACCACCTTTTGTTTTACCCCCTTTTGTGTGAAGGTTGCCGAGGTATGCCTGCCAGTTCATAGAGATGTGCCTTATGGTGACTGCTGATCACGGCCCGGCTGTTTCCGGTGCCCACAACACCATCGTGTGTGCTCGAGCTGGCAAAGATCTCATATCCAGCCTCACCTCCGGCCTTCTCACCATCGTAAGACACCTGTGACTCGTGTGCTTGTATTACTGACCTGCAACAGACCACCATGAGCAAGAGTTTTTCCTTTTTTCAGGGTGACCGCTTTGGAGGTGCTCTGGATGCTGCAGCAAAGCAGTTCAGCAAGGCTTTTGACAGTGGCATGCTGCCCATGGAGTTTGTCAACAAGATGAAGAAGGATGGCAAGCTGATCATGGGCATCGGCCACAGAGTCAAGTCGGTGAGTACAATGGCTCCTTTAGCATGTGTGTGGACATATCGTTTAAAGGTACTAGAGATAGAGGACAACAAGATTGATTGGAGAAGGATGATTTTGAATGAAAGGGAATTGTCTGTGCTTCGCCAGATTAACAATCCAGACATGAGAGTTCAGATCTTGAAGGACTATGTGAAGCAGCACTTCCCCTCCACCCAGCTGCTGGACTACGCTTTAGATGTGGAGAAGATCACCACCTCCAAAGTAATATTCATCCTGTCAGCCTTTACTAAATAGTGACGCGCTGCATTTGTTTAAAACTACATGATCTTCTTTTCCCTGTGTGTGTGTGTGTGTGTGGATTTTGTTGTATTAGAAACCCAACTTGATCCTGAATGTGGATGGCTTTATTGGTGTAGCCTTTGTGGACTTGCTCAGGAATTGTGGTGGTTTTACAAGGTGAGCCAATAAATGCTTCCCATTTTTACAATATCTTTATACAGTTTACACTTTGTTTCTTTTAAAAAAGGATACCTTTACTTTTATATTAGACAAAATGGAGAAACAAGCTTTCAAGATACATTTTTATATTGAAGCCATAGAGATCCAAGGCTGTTTGACAACTCGGCTCTTTGATTTCATGATTCTACTCCATAATGCCAAATATATGAAAGTGTGGACTACAAAGATTTGTTGTACAGTTTGTCCATACTAAAAATTACCACAAAATGCCAAAATTGCCTTAAATTAAAAGCGTCCGCCTGCACTTCACACATGGTCAATATGTTTGAGTTTAAGTACATTGTGGGCAGCTATCTTTTCGATTCCACAACTCTCATCCTTGTTATCCATCATGCCTGTCGCAGGGATGAAGCCGACGAGTTTGTGGAAATTGGAGCTCTGAATGGCATCTTTGTCCTGGGGCGCAGCATGGGATTTATTGGTGAGTAATTTCTGTGTACAGACCCACTGCTACAGTAAGATGGGCAAACACTTGACAGTCGAGCCATCCTTTTTCATATTTTCTCAGGACACTACCTGGACCAAAAGAGGCTGAAGCAGGGTCTGTATCGCCACCCCTGGGATGACATCTCCTATGTGCTCCCAGAACACATGTCCATGTAATCAGAGGGACTGAACCAGAGAGCGTCAGCCCTCCGTCCCCAAATCCCTGTGATCCGTCACCCCGAAGCAGTGGCGTAATATCGGAAAGATGTAACTATTGATGCAGCTTGTAAATTGCAAATATTGAAAAGAGTGTGTTTTTAGTTTTAGAAATCTGTCAGTGCTGCAGCTCTTTGAATATTAGTGTAACCTGCCAAACTGTAACACTCTATTGAAACAAAGTCGGGGTGTGACTGAGTGAGATTAGAAGATGAATCCGATATACATCTAAGGGGGAAAGTTGATTATTCAACTGACCGCCAGTGAAGTACTGTTCTTTACCCCCTA